CGCTGCAGGAGCACTGACCACCTCTGTCGAAAGTGGGAGAACAGCTTCTTGGCCGGGGTAGTAAGGGGGTTGGCCCTGAATCGGACCAGCGCCGCGTGGTTGGCCAGCAGCTGCAGGAACTGGGCCATGGAGGGGGCCAGCGCCCCATAGGTCTCGACCGCCAGGGCATAGAAGCTGACCCACGCCGGGCCGCTTCCCGGGCCGCCCAGCTGGGGAGGCCACCCGCATCTAGGTCACGCCGCTGGAGCACTGGGTCGGTGACCGTGATGTCTGTGACCCATGTCGCCCCACTCTCGTTGTCCCGCACCTCCAGGTCTGCATGCTTCCGATTCGTTGGAGTGGTGAACTGGGTGGTTTCGTGGTAGACGCTGAATCTGGCCTCCCGAGCCATGCGAAGCGTCGCGTACACGAGAGCGTTGAGGAGGTTCTTGGGGTACCTGCCCTCGTTGCATCAGAGGATGTGGTTTGGGAGGCTCGTGTCCGGAATTGCTGCCCTTCTGCAGCAGCCGCCTGGGACAGGGTGGGGGAGGCCCAGGCGGAAGGCCAGCGCCGTCCCAAACTGGGCTGGTGTGAAGCGGAGGTCAGGCCGGGATGGGAGGGCTAGCAGCCATTCGCAGGCTCCCGTGCCCCTTAGGCTGGTGAGACGGGTCCCGTGGGCGTTCTCCAGGCCTGGACGGTCTAGTAGGGTGTCCGCGAATAGCTCGTCGGCGCGGCGGGCGTTGATGTCCATGCTCAGCCAGTGCTGCAGAGCGCTTGTCGCGGATGGCAGTGTGGAGCGGGAGCACCCTTTCACCTCCCCCCTCCAACAGGTGTTTCGCCTCCTGGAGTAGTCCCTCAGGCGGGCGGATGCCTGCTAGGAGCCGTGCCGCTGCTAGCGTTGATGCTAAGAACACCGCTGGCACTTCCGTGGTGGGGTCGGTGATCCCCAACCCTCCCTGGGTGATGGGTAGGGTTGCCTGGCGCCATGTGAGGCTCGACTCAAGTTCGCCTCGTGGGATTTGGAGTTTGGCTGCTCGTAGTACTGTCCGCACCATGTCCTCGCTCCAGCCCCGCCACTCCACCAGTGGTAAGTCGTCTGCCGGTGTCGAGCGGAGAAGGAAAGAGACTCGTTGCGACACGCATCGCGAGAGGAGGAGGAGGGCGTGTTGGGGGTGGAGCTCTGCCAGCTGGCCGAGGGGTGCCGCCGCCTTGGCAAGTGCCTCACGAAGGTAGGAATTGCAGAACTCCGCCTCCCCCACCGGACTTCCGAGGATGCGCAAACCCCCTTCCGCTTGTGCCACTCCTGGTGGTAGGAGGGCCGTGCTTGTGGCACTCGGTGACCAGCCAACCAACTTCGCGAGGGAGCACTGCAAGCCGCACTCCTGCAAGCCCTCTTGCAGGAGCTGGAAAGCTTTGGTGGCCGCTGCTGGTGGTCCATGGACGGTGATGTCGTCAGCATAGGCCAGGAAAATCGCCTCGGGGCAGCAGTTTGCCACACGCGTCAGCGTTGGCTGAATGGCTACGGCGAAGAGCAGCGGCCCCAATGGGTCGCCCTGGCGTACGCCTCTGCTACTGCTGATTTCGGCACTATTGAAGGCCGCGTCAACGAGGAGTGGTGACGGTGCGCCGTAGAGGGTGTATGCAAGCGGGGAGAGCGGGGCGAGTGGGCTCCACTGCAGTACTTGCAGGAAGCTGTGGCGTTGGACGCTGTTGAAGGTATTGGCAACATCCAGCTATAGGACGATATGAGATGGGAACGCCTGTAGTAGAGCTCGGACGGTGTGGATCACACACTCCACTCCCCCTGTGACTGCCACTCCGAACTGGTGTGGCAGGAAAAATGTCTGTGTCGCTGCTGCCAGTTTTTGTAGTGCTGCCTTAGCTGCTACACGCAGGAACGCCTCCCCAATTGCAATGGGGCGAACCCCCCCGCTCGGTTTGCTGAGGGCGATTAGTTTGCTGGGTAGCAAAATCTCGCATATGTCTTATGCGAGCTTGCCCCCAACCGTCAGGTTGACAGTGTGCAGGAGCAGGTTGAGCACGTGAGGGTTGAGGAGAGCTGGGTCCCGCAAGTGCTCAAAGCACGTGCCCGATGGTCCCCCTCTTATGCCACGCTGGCATTTTGACAGTAGCCTGCGAAATGCTGCGTGTCCGATTTCCAGCGAACTCTCTGCCCCTTCGCGCCAATGTGTTGGGCTTTCGTCTGTGGCACCATGGTGTTTTTTGTGTAGGCTCGTGAGAGTCGCAGCGGTGGTTGGCGAGACAGGCGAGGGCAGTTCCGCCGCGAGTGCCTTTCGGAGGTTCGTTTTCTGAACCAGGCCTTCAGCACAGGCGCGCAGGCTAGCAGCGTCCGACAAAGAGCGAGCAGCTGGGGCATTTGAAATGGAATCCCTGCTTGGCGTGTACAGTTCGTCCCATTTCCCCTCCCGAAATTGCTGTAGTTGGCGACGAATGGACTCCCACCATTTTTCCGTGCCTGGGCCAAGCCTAAGTGTCAGGCGAGGTAGAAAGGTGAGGACGC